AACGGAAAACTCGTTGACGATTTCGCCATTTTTGGTTTCGTGTATTGGCCACACCATGCAAATCATCTTGCCTTGCTGAGTCTTCTAGTTGCTCTTGCTCACTGGGTAATAGCGTTCCTATCCAGTTTTCCGAAGACTGAACATTCGATACCAGAGAGCCTTTCTTCATGTGAGAAGCCCTCTCCACTCCTGCTGCAGCCTGGGCCATATGCATGAATATCCCCATGTCCCTAAGGTTTTGTCTCGGGCCAGCATATTGCAGTCCGTTGGCGTCAAGAGCAACCACGTATTCGGCTCTTGGTAAGCACAGTTCTAGGTGGTAAGTTGCCAGTATGCGTGTGCGTCCCTCGGCGAGACTCCCCGTCAGAGCATATTGATATAGATGCTGCGCCGTATGAGAATCAATGGAGCTGAAAATATCATCCAGTACAATTATCTCGGCGTCGGAATAGAGTGCGCGCGCAAGGGAGATACGCCATTTCTGGCCACCACTGAGATTGCTCCCTTGGTCGTCCATCGGAGTTTCATCTTTCAGCACTAGACTATCTATGTCGCTATTAAGGGAGCAGGCGAAAAGAACGCGCCGGTAGCGCTCCTGCTGAAACGGCAGGCCATAAAGGATGTTGTCCCTGATTGTCCCATCTTTCAAGCACGGTTCCTGGGCAACGTAGGCAACCGCCAGGCTTGGGGACCGTCGTACACTGCCATGCAGGAACTCGCATTCACCAAGTATTGCTGCAAGAACGAGACTTTTGCCAGAGCCAGACGGCCCCGTAATGATACTCAAAGCGCCGTATGGGAATGTCAAAGACATGTCTTTAAGAGAAAAACATTTAGTGTATTGATTTTCGTTCCAGCAAATTGTGGCCTGGTCCAGCACAACCCCATCAGCGGGCGCAATATCGACATCCCTGTCTGGAGTTCGAAGGAAACGTTCGATTCGCCGCAGACTGATCTGTGCTCCCGTTGCATTCAACAGGATCTGGGGAAGAACTGCAAGGGGGGTTTCAAGTGCACCGAGGAGCGAGACTGAGGTGAAAGCGAGAGACGCCGGCATGTCGTTATGTAAAAGGGCATATGTGCCTAAGCAAGCGGCGGAAACAGCAACGGGTGTAATGTTATAGGCGACGAACATGAGAAGCTCCCACTTGAAAACTTGCCACTGGTTGTGCAGCTCCTTCCCTCTTGACTCGTTAATGCGGTCTTCCCATTTTTCCTCCAAAGCTGATAATTTGACTTGGCGGATACCTTGGAGAACCTCGTTAATGATTCCCATCTTGCTGTCGCGTGATCTCAAGAGACCTCTTTGTTGCTTCGAAAACTGACTGACGGAGTAAAAGTTTCCTGCAGATACAAAAAGAAGAACTAAGCCACCGACTAGTAGGCACTGCGGTCCAAGCAACCGGCCGATAGAGAGAGCAGCAATAATGAGTTTCAACGGTGCCTCGTAAAGATGAAAGCCGACAGCTGAAAAGTCAGCCACTTTCTTTGCATCCACTGCCACCAGATTCATGGTACCCTGACTGGATGGGCTGGTGGTACTGGCACTCTGCGAATCCATTCCGACATTGTTCACTGCACGACAACGTAACGCTTTGTCATATATCACTGTTGATAGTTGTTCCTGCAGCCTCACTGCAATCAGATTTGACGATACATAGAGATTCCAATTTTCGATAAGAGCAGATACGATAGTCGACGCGCCGAGCCCGAGAACAAATAGCCATAGCCAAGGATCATCAGGGTCGGTTTCCAGACGCTGCAAGATTCCCAAGATAAAAAACTGGGGCACAAATGCCATGGTCCCATTCAAGAAGGTCAAAACAAGTTGAATGAATAGCGCTTTCCGATGACTGAAAAAGAGGACCTTCCAAAGGCTTTTACTGGAAGCCGTATATTGTTGGCTGAAAGTTTGAAATAGCTGAGGTGAACGGCTATTGTACTCCAGCTCAGGCAGATGGCTGATCTCCAGCTCATCTTTCTGACCCGCAGAAAGCAGCTGGCCTACCCATCCAAAGAACAATTGGTCCAAGAAGGTTGTCGATCCTTTGCGATCCACCACTGTTCCATTTCGAAAAACGTCCGGTCGACGTGGCAATGTTGCGCCGGCCATGCAGGCGCCCAAAGCGGCGCAACACTGGCCAAGTAGAAAGAACCAGGGCAGAAAGGAGAAATCCAACGCCTCATAACATCTGTACTGATCCTCAACTAGAAGTACCATCATTGCGACGCAGCCGATGCTTGTTTGGAGACCGTGTCTAAACCGAAGCGTGCATTCGTCTTCCATCCAGACTGCGACTGTACTGAGGGCCAGAGTCCCCCAGGCCCCTAGTCGCATCCATCGTGTAAAATCACCGGTGGATGCAGACACAATGTGAAACACGACAACTTCCGATAGCGATAGCCAGACACCAATGCCGGTACCAATTGCAAGTGCGACGCGTGGGGGTTTGTCCGAAAATTTCTTGAATGAGTGTGGTTGTGCAATTCCATCGCAATCTTCATACCCATCCGTTTGAATCATTGTGTCGAGGGTTAATTGTCGATGTCGCAGTCGATTCACGATGGCGATGAAGGCCCTCCCTCCCACCAAGGCCGCCACACCGAATCCGAATATGTTGGCCGCGAGGGGGAGCCCCTCGCTTGTCGTCTGAGAAGACATTTTGCTGAGAGACTACCGAGAAGAACTCGGTAGCAGTTACCCGAGCGAGCATCGTTGAAGAATCGAAGATTAGACGCCGGAGCGTCTCTCGTGCGGTGATGGCAGGCTGCAGGATTAATATAGGATGGCCGACTCGTGGTCGTCGCGTCGGCGGAAGCGCTACAGTGGATCTAAAGTCGGAGGTCGGGTTTGATTTGGCTGCCCGGCTGACGTACCACTCAGCGCAATGCCCCCCACTTTGGCTATGGTTGTGTCTGTGGTTGGTGCAGGCAAACCAGGCTTGTCTTCATAGTTTTATCTGATTTGGGGGCATTTTGCGATTGCTACTAGGGCTGAGGCTAGTTCTGCATGTGGCAAGTGTGAGTTCAAAGTTAGGTAGTGGGGGCTACCATTGTGATTTGCTGGATATGGAGGAAACAGGCAATGGCGACGACATGCCAGGCATCCAGAATATCATGCACCGATATATCTCAACATCATAGATAACACGAAATCTGTGTGATTGAGCAGGAAACTGTAAGGAGGGCTATTTACTGGTCGGCGATAAAATCCAGAAGCGCCAAGCCCGAAAAACCGAGCATCGGCCTTCAGTACTCGAACGGGCAAAGTACCACGAAGATTGGATTGTTGCACAGGGATGCATGTTACTGGAGAACACGAGGCTACTATGCAAACCCTATCCATATTTTCTCCCTTCGAGCAAATAAATAATGTAATGTCCGTGCTGAAGCTCGTATCTAGAATCTCCATGATCCGGGGTCGACTCGCCCAACCGGGTCCCCGGAAAGTGTGATCCGTGCCGGATACGGATGAACCCGAGCGTTAATCGCATAAGCATCCTGTTCGGATTACCAATGTCGATTGGATGAACTTGCAAAGAAACTGACGATGGAATCCCTCGTTTGCAAGTATATAAAGAATGAATCTTTCCGTAACCATGGTGTAGTCGCCACCCTTATACTTCAGAGTCCGTCATTTCACTGTAACTTCCACATCATTTAACATTAACAAAATGGTAGTCCTCGCCGACATCCAATCCTCCAATGTCCAGATTGCTACCTCCCTACCTGAGGGCATGGTAGCTCTCTTCGTGGGAGCAACAAGTGGCATTGGCGAAGCAACACTCAAGCAGTTCGCTATGCATGCTGCACGGCCCCGTGTCTATTTTGTCGGTCGCAAACAAGAAGCAGCCAACCGCATCATCGCCGAATGCGAAACCCTGAACCCCGAGGGGAAGTATATCTTCATATCTGCAGACGTTAGCTTGCTCTGCAATGTCGATGAGGTTTGCCGCCACATCAAGGACAAGGAGCGAGCTCTCAATCTCCTCGTTCTCACACCTGGTATAGCGACTATACACAACGGTGGGTGGTCGCCGGTTCGGATATATATATCTCTTGCCGCACCATGACTAGAACTACGTAATGTTACAAAATAAACGACTGATTTCTATCATACTGCAGAAACACCCGAAGGACTCCGCAAGATCACATCCCTCCTCTACTTCGCCCGCATGCGTTTCATTGTAAACCTCCTCCCTCTCCTCCAACAAGCCACCAGCCTCCGCCGCGTCATAACCGTCGGGGCAGCCGGATCTGAAGGTCCCATTGACACCGCCGACTTCGAGGGCAGAAAGCTGTCAGCCCCATTGTTCCGCGGGCATATTACTTCACTGACCACAGTGGCTTTGGAAACGCTAGCTGAAAAGGCCCCAACCGTGTCGTTCATTAATACTCACCCTGGAGCTGTCCGGACCGGGATAACTCGAGAGGTGGATAATCTCCGTATGTGGATTGTGTGGCTTGCTCTTCTGCTTTTCGGCCGTTGGATCTGTATTCCTGCCATAGAGAGCGGAGAGAGACATCTCTTTGTGGCTACAAGTGCGAAGTATCTGGCGCGAGATGGGGATGATGGGGTGCCGCTGTCGGAGGGGGTTGCGGTTGCGCGGGGCGTTGATGGGGAGGTGGGAGAGGGTGTTTATTCTGTCACTTCGGATGGGGAGAGCTCAGATAATGCGATTGAGGTTCTGAAAGGCCTGCGAGAGATGGGCATTGGAGAGATTGTCTGGAGGTATACGGAGAGTCAGTTTAAGCGGATCACGGGGGTGAATGCCGTATAGTGTAAGCTGGGTTGCGTCGGAAATGTAGCAGAGATTGGCTTTATATCATTCCCGAACTGTTAGTGAAGATAACAGTTCCAATGGCATGAATTGATGACTTCAAAATGAAGTCATTGACGGTAGCCAAAAGAGTGTATCTTCAAATCACGTGCAGAGTCTCGATCAGGCAGGACCACGTGATGACGTCATGTGTGTCACTTGCCGGATCAGGCAATTCCGCTCTTTCTCTGTCGTCAACTTTATTCTGCTTCTTGTTCTGTATCTCCCATAATGGCTTCACTTCTCACTCCTTTGAGAGTAGGCTATAATGTAGAGACAGGTCGCAGCTGGTGGCACCTGTATCGACCCAATGACGTCTGCAGGCACAATTTTCCACGCCGACCTAGCTGAACCACGACCATAGCCTCCTCTTGACACATGGTCTCACCATACTCCCCTGGAAGTGTCGGCCTCAAACCCGGCTTATCAGAGGTTGAGTTGGTCACTCGCGGCTCATTTTTAACCTATTTACTCAGTACAACAAAGGCTGTTGGGCCAGCATGTCACGGGTGGGCCCGAAGCCGCCGATCAAACGCCGCCATCGGTGACTGGAAGAGATCGTGCAAGGAACGGATCCGTTTCCACCCATCCAGGTCGCACAGCGTGAGGTTATGCAACCCGCCAATTAGAATCGGAGGAGGGCTGCGTTGTCCGTGAGGACCTGCCACTTCTTTATGCCTTTGGCAGAGCACCACCTTCATAAGTTTCACGCAAGTCTGTGGGGCGGGCAACAAGTTACTCTATTCTCTGCCATGGCATGGTGGTTGACTGGATGGCAATCATCCCGGTTCTGGCGTCTCACTAACAAGGCGGTCTCTCAATGATCGTCTCAACGTGGCTGGCTCTTGCTGGTATCAGTCTCGGTAGAATAACTCTCACCTACTCTACGGAACCCGGCTAGATCTATCAGCAGGAACTATGGATGAAACGTGCAAAATCTACCAAATAGGCTACTTAGGTGTGGCGTGGAAAATTCGAGGGTTTGGGTGTGAAGCCACCAATGGTTGTAGTCGGCTGTTCCCTGGTCTGCTTCTGTGACGCAATCTTGGCGCACCGTATAATATATCCCCAACGAGACACCTTAAATATAAGATAGTTCTTTTCTTCTACAGCAGGCTCATAAAACTGCAATTGTACAATTTTCCGACTGCACACCTTAATTACCTACTGCCATGGTGCACCCAATTAGGTCTCTCAACAAGGAACTCGATCGTAAGTGTGAAATGTTTTCAGACAGACTATTCCGCTAACAGCTCGTAGAGGTCGACACCGAGTCGAAAGACTATCGATCTTCCGACTCAACGGAGGGAGAATCCTCCAAAGCAGACCAGGATGAAGAGTCTCCCCATAGGGAGCCCAGAAAGGGCGTCTCGCGAAACAAAAGCCAAGGAACCCAGAGTACCAATGTTTCGCGAAAGAAAAGTCATGCTAGTCACCGCACTGGCGTATCCCAAAATCAGAGTTATCGGAGTCAACCTCCCGCTACACTGAGAAACCAGAGCTATGGGAGTCAGGCACAATTCTCCTTAGCAGGTCCGAATGCGTATTACGGATCACTTCCTCACCAGGGCGCCTACATGCATCCGGAGTATCAGTCTTACAATCCTCAGTATGGAAACACGCAAGGGGACAAGCCTGTATGGAGTTTAGCGCAGCCGCTGCCCCATGTTGTCCGAGACGGAATGCGGTATGGAGCCTTGCCAGAGGATCGAAAGGAAGAAAGAGAAGAAAGGGGACGAGAACGCCCGCCTCCAGCGGCAGAAGAGCCTCCTACAGATATCCCGCAGACGGATGAAGCTAGACATAATGGCGAGGAGCCGCAGAACGAGATGGGGTTCTTCAACAAATGGTCCAAAATCCGGTATTATCTGAGAGAGCCATTAGGCGAATGGCTGGGTGTGAGTAGTTACCTAGACTATCTCTCTTAATCCAGCAACTAACACAATCACCAGACAACCTTAGCCATCACCCTCGGTCTCTGCGGCGGGCTAGCAACCTACACATCGGACCAACAAGCCGGCTCATGGATGAGCCAAGCCGCGTGCTGGGGCTTCAGTTTTATGATCGGCATCTACATCGTCGGTGGCATCTCTGGTGGCCACCTCAACCCTGCCATCACAATCTCCATGTCTGTCTGGCGAGGATTTCCCGCCCGCCGATGCATAATCTACATCCTTGCTCAGCTGATCGGCGCCATCACCGCCGGCGGAATCGCCTACGCCATTTACCACGACGCCATCGTCAACCTCTCCGTTGAGAGCAACTTACCACAAAGCGAAACAACAGCCAGCCAAGCATTTCTCACTCTACCAAAACAATTCGTCAGTCCAGCTACTGCATTTTTCAACGAGTTCTTAGGTACCGCCATCCTCGTCGGAACCATCATGGCACTGGGAGACGACACCAACGCTCCCCCCGGAGCAGGTATGCAAGCCTTCATCATCGGCATTATCATCACCGTTCTAGTCCTAGCATTAGGCTACAACACAGGCGGGTACGTACACCCATCTCCCTCTCCGCCTCATAACACAGCAACTAACAAACACCCAGAGCATTCAACGGTCCCCGCGACTTCGGCCCCCGTCTCGTCGCCGTAATGGCCGGCTGGGGCGGACATCTCTTCAAAGAGTACCATGCCTGGTGGATCTGGGGCCCCTGGGTCGCCGACATCTTCGGAGGATTATTCGGCGCGTTCATCTACGACTTAGTGGTGTTCACCGGCGGCGAAAGCCCGATCAATTACCCACCGAGGAGACGTAAGCGTGCTCTGCTGATCAAGGAGAAGAACTTGCGGACTAAGTTGCGCCTTGGGAGGCGGAAGATCGGGGATATCGAGAGGGCGGTGGAGGAGAATCAGGATTGATGTTAGTACTGGATATCTGGGAAGGAAGGACTTGTTTGTGTATTATGGTGTGGTTTGCATGCAGTATACGGTAGCGTCGCATTAGCCTGGAGTTTCTTTTGTTTCGTTTCGTATTTGGAGTTAAATAGGAAAATGTCTTTTTTCAATGTGTTTGATGTTGGGGATAGCGTTTATCGTCATCTTAATCATACCTAAGTACTAGTAGTAATAAGAATAGGATTTTTCGCACCTCTAGATAACCCTATCCCAGTACCGCAGGCAATGAATGCCAGACCAGCAATATCTGAGGCCAGCTGAATCATGCACTTTAACGACATTATTCATCATCGACCAGATGAGCATAGCAAAAAGGGGGATCTGAACTACCTCTACAACGCATAATCTAAAAGGTTCTCACTACCTCGTTATCTACAAAATCCAGTCAGTAGGAACGGTGATGGCTCATGGACATAATTATTGAAGCCGGATTAACCGACTACGGTTTGATATGTGTCAAAGGAAGCATGAGCAAGCAAAGTGTATTTATTTATTTTATCTTTTACGATTTCAAAGCAAGAGTACCTAAGCAAAGTACCACAGTATCAGAGTACCATCGTGCCCATCTCACGACGCGGCGCCGGCGGCAGCAGCAGCAGCAGTTCCGCGAGCCTGAATCACTTCCAAAAACTCCAAAAACCCCACGCTCCTAGCCTCCTCGATAGCCGTCCTGGGTCCCTGTGTACCAGCCGTAGCCCTAACATTTGGGTTGACGCCTCTATCCAAGAACAGATGCAGAAGTTCGTAAATCCGCTGTTTGAGGGCCTCGAACGCCCGGGGATTTCGCAAATCCTCCTCCGCATCCTTGGCATCCTTATAATTATGAACCAGTGCATGAATAGGCGTGCCCAGGCCTGTAACCTGTTTCGGATCAGCACCTTGGCCTATCAGGGCCTGAACTAGTTCGATATTGACTACGCGGGCAGCGTAATATAGGGGAGTGACCATGCGGGAGGTTTGCTTTGAGAGGTCGATGTCGGCACTTGCGAGGAGATCATACGTGGCGTGTTCATTGCGGTAGTGCATGGCGACAAGGAGAGGAGTTGTGTTAGCGGCTATGGCGCTGCTCTCGGAGTTGATGTAAGAGGATAGATTAGGAATTCGGCCCCCGCGACAACTGTCGTACTGGACGAGGCGTCGCAGAACTTCGGTGTCACTGTTGACAGCGGCGGAGTGGATCGGGGAGATGGGAGGGTTGCGTGGGGCGAAGATGGCGTTTCTGAAGTATGGGTCGCCCAGTGTCTTGCTGATGTTTGCCCAGGTCTGCGAGCGGAAGAGCCGGTTTACCTCCCCGGTTCGCATGACGTGAGGGGGCGTCTCGTAGCTGAGGATGGTCCTTAGGGTGTTGTGCTCGCGTCTCCACACGCATAGAGCAATCGGAGTGAAGCCGTTGCCATATCTATTGTCCGTAGTCACGACAGCGAAAGGGTCGACGCCGTACTTTTCCTTGATTTCAGGGTTTAGGAGGTATTGGGCGAGTTTGTTATGCCGGAGTAGGATGGCCGCACCCAGCACGGTCAAGTTGCTCTCCATAACAACGTTAATGGGGAACCCTAGATCACAGAGAACCCGGATCGGCCTGACCTTCTTTGCAAGGAGGGCTTCGCCAATGGTGGACCCACGGAGTCTCAACGAAACATGGTGGGGGGACACTCGAAGGGATGGGGAGACCCCGGGTATGTACATCAATTGATGTACAAGCGGAGCAAGTCTAGCTCGGAGAGCATTATGGATCTCAAGCTGGGGAAGGTGTTCGACGGGAAAGCGATGATCACGGCATATATTGCATATAACCTGAAGGAAGTTGTTGATATTCATGATGTTATTCGAAAGGGCTTGCTCAAGACTCCTGATGACTGGTCTGAGGTCATGAGGTAGGTCTTTGGGTTCTTCCTCTTCAGAGTCGTACTGGGCTTCGGCGGCGGCCTCCTCTCTGGACCCCTGCGCTCTAACCTCCTCCGTTTCATCATCATCAATTTCAAAGTCGCCATCCTGATCCTCCTCTGCCGCGTCAATTTCAAAGTCGCCATCCTGATCCTCCTCTGCCGCGTCAAGCTCCATGGCTTCGGAGCCAGTCATCGCCGCCGGTGGAAGTTCAGACAATTCAGATGGCGAAGGGTGCGCCACCATGGGATTATTGAACAATAAGTTATGGAAGTCGCGGATGTGATATTCCAGATCTTCTCTGGCCAAGGTGGGATGACGGGTGCCGCATAAATCGCAAGAGATATATTCTTCATCGGGATCCTGCCTCTTCAAACGTGCCATCTCCACGAATACCCAATGAAAAGCATGGGCATCCCCCTCTACTGAGGTCAGAGGCCTGTGACGGCAACCAGGCCACTCTTCGCAGTCAATGATCGTAGAGTTTTCCTCGTTGTCGGCTCTTTTCTCCCTGAAACGTCTGTTCAGCTCATCGAGATGCTGTTCGATGTGCTCGTAGATAGCGTCCCCGGCGGGCTCAGGGTGTCCCTGGTTGCAGAAAATGCAGTGAGGGTTAATAGGATTCCCCTGCTGACTCATGATTGCTGAGCTTGGAATTGATTATTTTTTTTTATCTTTTTGATTTGGTTTAGAGTTGCTGTAATTCTGGTGTGATTGAGAACAGATAGATCAGTTGGAAGGATGTTGTCGTGACTGATGGTGGAGAGGACAGCAGTGGATGTACCTGTCACTGAGGTTTATATACTACTTTTTGCTACCTTTGGTGGATCGCAGTTGCAATCCTGGCATCGGTTGTTCCCTCATGTTGCTGTCGCTATCTACCGATCTGCTGGTGGCTCGCCTTATGGAGAGGAATAAACCGAGACTTGGATGGGTCTCACCAGCATTGAATGGAATTATCCGGTCACAGGTATGTCCTAGATGAGACGTGTATTACGAAAGAGGCGGAAATACCTTCATATAAATTCAGTCATCCTCGTCAGTAACTATTGCGCGCTTTGCGCCTGGTTAAGTGATAGCCTTAACCTGTATCGTGATTTCAGAATCCAAACGATTTGCTTGCTTCCTCCCTCCCTTCCGATGTGGCTCCTTTCTATTTCATCTTCTTCTCTAACAATTGATAACCAATTGTTAAGGCCCTACCCTACCAACAAGTCGGTCTGCCTTAATATAAGACAACATAATAGTATGTGTTGGCCTTGAATATAGTCCTACTGGACGTTCACAATACAATGAGGCCCTGCGGCTCTTCGGGAGTATCTGGGAGATATGCCCCCTCGGCGCTTGGAGCACGCGAGTGACCAGTGTCCCTTTTGATGGACGGCGTGTATTTTGCAATATGCAAATCAAGTGTGTGTGCGTGACGATTAAAGCGGCACGGCTTGAGGCCTCGGCATCCGTCCTTCTGGCAGAGATGGCCGAGGAAGCACTTAGTGGATCGGCATGAAGGGCCCGTCTGACATGGGTGCTGACGGAGTATGTATTTCATAACGTCCAGCGAGCTTGGATCAAGACGGCCGTGGTCGTATTCACAGCCAATGTTGCTGCACTCGCCGCCAAGATGGAAATTATTGCATGGCTTATGGATTTTGGCGCGACGGGTATAGAGTTCCCAGGCGTCGTGGCCGGGGATCGGACAGTAGGTGTCAATGCGATCTCCGGCCAAGTTTATCGGGATATAATCTTGCCACTTAGAATCAAGTTGGGTGACAAGTTGTGAGGCATAAAACTCTTGAGTGCGAGCACTCGTAGGAGATTCCCTTCCTGGAGGAGAGGGGGTATTGTCGGATCTAGAGAGTTGTTGACCTTGCGGTATGTGGGCCTTGTTGCAGGAGCTGCCGTATCGGCAAATGCCCTGAAGAACATTAGTTGAAAGTCAAAGTATGGCAAATGCATTTCCACGCACCTTTTGGAAATGTTTGCAAATCGGTCTAGAGGTTGTGGACATCGAAGGCGTATGGTTGGAGGGACTCCCAGTTCCACCAATAGGTGTAGACATGAAGAGGGCGGGAAGCTCCCGCACGGGGAGGCCTAATCTTTCATATTCGCTGTGAAAGTTGGCAGCTTTGAGAAGGGTGATGCGATCAGTCCGGCCACGATAAGGTGTCAGTAGATTAGAATACCCGGAGTCGTGACAACCAGCGAAGAAGATGTGTCTGCACTGGCTGTTGTCGGCAAATAAGCGGAACATTTCTACTGAGGTTAGCTCGAGCCCCTCCAAAATAAAGAGCTATTCATACCCCTAATCTTATAGTCCGCTCCCTCTTTCTTATCTCCCGCATCCACGAAATCGAAAAGATCCTCAGCCCGGGTGAAGCTTGCTGTAAAAGGCGACAGAGAGCGGGCTTCCTGTCCCACAATCCCGGAGCGGGCCAATGACTTTGACAATCCAAGCACGTTTGCATAAATGCGTACCATCACACGGCACTGGTCAGCCTGATGGCCTAGTCGATCATGGAGTAGTTCGCGGATGGAATCGTTAAGGATCCGGGCAGCCGTAATGCCACCATCGGCTCCGGCTTTTAGCAGATGCTCTTTGAACTACCGCGGAGTTGATCAGTATGATCTTTCCTAAGGATTCAGATGTACCTACGAGATAGCCATCTCCATCAACGAGGACCAGCACGAAAGGATTCCGCTCCTAAGTCACCGTCAGAGCTGGACAATGTACATACTGACGGATCATTCTGCGTACCTGACCCCTAGCCATCCGCTTGTACTTCTCTCTAGCCTCTTTCTCCTCCTCATAGTCACTCTTAAGGTTGTTGTAGTTGTCTAAGAGCTGGCGGAACTTATCCAGGAGGTTCTGTACATCGGCATGGTGTTGCTGGTTCTGCTGCACAATGCTTGATAGATTGCTATCTAGAGCGTGGATCTCGGCATCACCAAGCATATTGTTCTATTGTAATATGGTAATATGCTGAAGGAGCAGGATCGTCTGTTTTCTTTTTTCTCGAATGGGACACTGTCGCTAAGGAATAATGTCGAGGGATTTGCGGAGACCACCATGGGTGGGTGGCTGCGTATCCCGAAAGATAAGAATGGATGGGTCGACTAACATTCACTCAATACGAGTAAGGGACGGTAATGATAGGTAGGTGGTGAAGACTCCAAAGGAATGGGCAAGTGTCGACGAGCGAAAAGAGGAGAAGCAAAGCAAAGCAAAGCAGCGGAACTAGTTGGAAACTAGTTTGGATTTGTTGTGTTGGCCGTCGCTTACCCGCTGCGGTACCTGCGCTTATCGATAAGCGGTTATCTGTTTATAGCAGGCGGTGGGAGGGAGCTGCTATCGGAGCGGGGTAGAAGACTATCCCTCTTTGGGTATAATGTCAAGCATTGCTACCATAATCCACTTATGCGCACATGCTTACATGTCTACAACACATTCATTTGGAATTTCCAGAGTCGAAGAATTGAATAGTCCAGTGAGCAGTGAAAGCAGCCATGCCAATCATTGTGGTTGGAAGGTGAAAGATATCCAACGCTTGCGGGCGTTCTCTGCAGCCATCCGACTCTATTGACCATTTCACCAATTATCTACCCAACATGCTTTGTACAACAGGTATACTAGTACTCTCATGGAGATCCCGATTTTATATTTACACGCATGCATGCTAGTCTCTCACTGGTATGGCTCTTCCAAGTACATAACCCTGAATTACCCTGGTGTCATTATCACCGATCTACGGTAACAAAGCCACAAGCTTACCACGTCAAGACAACAACCGCAAATGGCTATGTACTCAGACAAATACCAACAAATAGATCGACACATGTCTCAATATCTCTGTCTCTACCTCGCCTTCTCACCCCCCTTCTTGCCCCTCCCAAAAACCATCTCATCCCTCCCCCAGACCAACACCACCGCCGCCCCTACCGGCCCAGCAACAACCCCCAACAACCCGACCCTCACCACCAACGACACCCACTCACACCACCCCATTGCACCACCTTTATCCATCCTAACCGCATTCCCATACAACCTCCACGCCCAAATCACCATTCCCGCCGACCCAATCAAGTAATCCCACCTCAGGAACGCATGCACTCCGTCTCCAAAACTAGCCACCTGTATAACAGGCGATGTCCACGGCGTGGGAATCCCGAAGACAAGACTGGGGTGCAACGAGGTCCTGTATTCTGGGGAGAGAATAGCAGGTGCGAGGATAGTAGATAGTGAGACGGTCAGGGTGACGAGGTGGGGGATTAGGGTGTTGAAGAAGGCAAAGGCGTAGATGAATCGGAGGGAGGAGAGGTTGTGGTTCTTCTGGGTGGGTTTAGGGGTGGATGTGAATGGGGAGAAGAGGGTGTGGGAGAGGGTGAGAAGGATGGAGATGTATGCTGGGAAGGGTTGCCAGAGGGCGATGAAGAGTTGTTTTAGGTCGGTTGTTATGGTTGAGGAGAGGGGGAGGACCATGAGGGCGCTGGGGATGATGTAGGAGACGGTGAATATCAAGGGGAGGGTGGTGAGGATTGTTTTGGGTATGTGGATGTTGGTTGCTGTGGGAGAGGTGGAGGTTGTGGAAGTAGTGAGTTGTAGGGCGCAGTAGAGAGGGGCTGCGAAGGCGAAGGTTAGGGTTTGGGCAGAGAGGCCGAATATTAAGGGACTGGTGGTGAGGTTAGCTTGATGCACTTGGGTACATTGTTGTGAACATACTATGCTGCCAGTGTCCAGGCATTTCCTTGTCGCCATGATTCTAGGGTTATCAGGATCCAGGCGGAGCCGAATGTCCCTGCGAATCCGAGCGTATGGAGAGTCAAGGCGGGGTGGCTTCCATCAGTGGTGGGCCAGAAAAAGGTGGTCAAGGTGGTGAGCAGGTGGTCCAGTCGAGGGAGACCGGTGTAGACGGTTCGTAGAGGTGCATCGCTGCCTGGGAGTGTTTTGCGCTCGATGCTTTGTCTTGCTAGTTCGAGGAGGCCATTGGCGTCGGCGTAGTACCAAATGGCATAGAGGGTGAAGAGACTGAGGGCGGGAAGGATCAGCTTGGCAGACATGGTGCGTGGGTGTTGATGTGCCTGGAAGAAGAAAGTGGGATCTAGTCGTCCTTATATGCGTCTCTGATACTGTTATTACTTTTTGTACGACATGTAGATCGCAGACCGAAAGGGTAGCCGTTGCGAGCAGCCGATCGTAGATCTGCGTCTACCGAGGCTGTCATCGGGAACCAGATCCGGGGCTTCACATGGTAGTGTATCACACCGATTTTGATTGTCCACAAGGCAGCTAATCTCTGTACTACACAGTGGTTCAATTATGAATCTAATCCTCGACACATGGTGCTCGTGATCAATGCCGGATTCCGACCCCATACATTCTTCCGAACGCTATCTATACTATTATGTATGCCCCGGCTATACGAGTGAATAGATAGCTTAGTTAATACTAGCAAAAAGCTTATCACTCTCCAAAACAAAACGAAGTTAAAGTGCACGAAGAGAAACATGACTGCATCTACAAATTCCCACGGAACCCCAACATCACCTCACATACCACACCCCTATCAACTACACATCTCCTCTAAACAAGGACAAAGAACCCCGAAGCATCTCACCTCATCCGTCCACCCCCAAACTCAAAGCCTCCCTGCTCTATACATTTCCTTTATTTACATCATCCAAGCAACTCAGCTACCCTATTAACAACCTATCCGCCGCCCACCGAACCCTACCCATCCAACCATGGATCGCACTCCCCATGACACCATCACTCTACACCACCGAAACAATAAATACACCCCTTCACCACCAGCTACAATGCCATTTCTACACCTATGCAAAACCCTCCACCTCCCTCATCTACCACCTCAAAATGCCCTCCCCATCACCATCCCCCTCCCCCTCAAGCACCTCTTCCCTATCTACCATCCCAACCGCCCACGCGAGCCGCACCCAAACCCTAAGCCGGCCGCAAACCAACATCGAAGTCTCGCGCATCGAGACACTCCGTCTAACGCACGAATCCACAGTCGGATCAAAGGCGCCGCAGACACCCCGGGATGAATGGTTACCTATGGGCGGGGGCAAAGAGTTTCCCCCGTTACTACCGGATCCGGATCGCTATGTGGTTGAGTTTACGGGTGAGGAGGATCCGATGCATCCGCATAATTGGCCCATTGGGACGAAGTATGTATTTTTCTATGTATATTTGCTCGGTTGGGTGTATGTGTGTCTGTGTGTGAGGAAGAAGGGCTAACGGGGGTATTGGTGGTGATGATGTAGGATTCTCCTTTCAAGCATCCTAGCCTACGTGACGTTTACTGCGTCTTTCGCTAGTGCGATCTTTTCTTCGACTGTCGGGGCGGTTAGTATACACTACGGGATTAGTACCGAGGTCGCGACGCTCGGCGTGACGCTGTATGTGCTCGGGTTCGCGGCCGGGCCGACGTTCTGGGCGCCTGCGTCGGAGCTGTCTGGGCGGCGGTGGCCCATTACTGCTGGGGTGTTTGGGTATAGTATCTTTACGGTGGCGACGGCTACAGCCAAGGATGTGCAGACGATTATGCTCACCCGGTTCTTTGCGGGTTTGTTCGCGGCGAGTCCGTTGTCGATTGTGCCGGCGGCGTTTTCGGATATTTACAATAATCGGACGCGGGGGATTGCGATCGCGATGTTTGCGATGGCGGTGTTTGTGGGGCCGTTTGCGTCGCCGTTTACGGGAGGTTTCATTGTCATGAGTTATCTGGGGTGGAGGTGGACGATGTATATTGCCGCGATTATGGGGTTTTTGGGGTCGGCGCTGTTGCTGTTGTTTTATAAGGAGACGTATGCGCCAGCGTTGTTGATGGCGAAGGCGGCGACGGTGAGGAGGCAGACGAGGAATTGGGGAATTCACGCGAAGCAGGATGAGGTGGAGATTGATTTTCGGGAGCTGATTACGGTGAATTTTAGTCGGCCGTTTCGGATGTTGTTTACGGAGCCGATTGTGTTTCTCGTTACGCTGTACATGTCGTTCATTTATGGCCTCATGTATGCCTTGCTGGCGGCATATCCGGTGGTGTTTCAGGATATTCATGGCATGAATCTTGGGGTGGGCAGCTTACCGTTTATTGGGCTAATTATTGGGGAGATTCTGGGAGGAGTGTTTGTCTTGTCGAGTCAGGGCTCGTATACCAAGAAGTTGAGGGCGAATAACGACATTCCCATCCCCGAGTGGCGTTTGCCCCCGGCCATTGTCGGGGGCATCTCTTTCACCATTGGACTCTTCTGGTAAGGCGTCTGTCTGTTGGGCGAATACCTGGCTGATGCGATTAGGTATGGCTGGACCGGATGGACGCGATCGATCCATTGGATGGCCCCGACGGCGTCCGGGCTGTTCACCGGGTTCGGCATCTACTGCATCTTTCTGCAGTGTTTCAACTATCTGATTGATTCGTATCTGCAATTGTGAGTGCCTTCCAGGATGCAATTTGTTGGAAGCTTCTGACCGAACAGCGCCGCGTCTGTTTTTGCTGCCAACACCATCCTGCGGTCTGCAGTTGGGGCATGCTTCCCTCTCTTTGCGCGACAGATGTTTGTCAACCTGGGGGTGCAGTGGGCAGGCACATTGCTAGGGTGTCTCGCGGCGATTATGATCCCTATCCCCGTGGGGTTCATCATGTTTGGACCCGCCCTACGACGGAGGAGCAAGTTTGCCCCGGCCGCAGCGGTGTTCCAGGAGAAGTCGGCCTAGTCAGGGTCTGAACACTGTCCGTTAGATAGACACTCACCATCATATCAATCTTAGATAGCTGTAGATAAGTCAGTGGTGATGACAAATAAAGCCAAGGGTGCCAAGGGAGGCATCTGGTTCTGACTGATAAGCATTTGGCGACTGGACGCTGTGAGTCGTGGGAATCCGCTGGGGCCTCTGGGTGCTCGATGGTGATTGCCTCGTGCTGGTGCTGCCAAGGGCACCATCCACGGAATGACTCTCGGTACTGGCTCTGCCAAGCTGCCAAGCTGTCCGCGTTCAGAAATCCTGGCGAAGGATTGGAAACTGCTTGAGTCAATTTATGACGGACGCCTGCTGCTTATCGCTCGCTAATGTAAAT